GGGGACAGCAGGCAGAGGGAGAAGCAGGCTCTTCGCTGAGCAGGGAGCCCTATTTGGGGCTCTCTCCCAGAGCTCTGGGATCATGACCTGAACCAAAGGGAGACGCCTGATCGATGGAGCCACCCAGGTGCCCCTCATGTCAGGTATTTAAAAGGAAAATTACAGATACAGTAGATGTCAGTAATCTAATAATTTTATGTCAATGAATTTGAAAACTTAGCTGAAATAAGATATTCTAGAAAAAATTTACAAAACTGATTTTCAATAAAAAAGCAAAAACTTGAAATAAACTTTGTATGTCCTTATTTCCTTTAATGGCTGTAAAGCATTGAATTAGTAGTTAAAACATTACCCCCGAAACCTACGACCCAACCCGGACTAGATAGTTTTACATTCATGGAAGATACCGTTCTAAACAAATACAGTGCTTACAGTGATTAGCTAAATGAGTATATCTGCCTTGCCCACAGGCAGTCCATCTTGTGAGGCTAGTATAACTTCCATGCCAAACTAGACAAGGATAATATGAGAAAGAAAAATGACACCAAATTATATGAACATTAACACAAAAATCCCAAAGAGAAAATTAAGAAACTGAATTAGAAAATGGATGAAAAAGAGAATATATATCATTGCCAAGTTTTTTCTTTTTCAGAAATTCAAGTATTAGAAAAATCCACATATTTTATTAACCAGCTTAAAATATTAAAGGAGAAAAAAAAAGCCCATCAGATAGTTTCAAGAGATGCAGGAAAAAAATATATCATGAATATCCTTTAAGATAAAAACTTAGCAGGGCACCTGGGTGGCTCAGTTGGTTGAGGATATGCCTTTGGCTCAGGTCATGATCTTAGGGTCCTGGGATGGAGCCCCATGTGGGACCCCCAGCTCAGCAGGGAGTCTGCTTCTCCCTCTGCCCCTTTCCCCCACTCGTGCACTCTCTCTAATAAATAAATTTTTAAAAATCTAAAAAACAAGGAGATAAAAGCTTAGCAAACTAGGAATAGAAAGGATTTATTTTTAACCCAATTAAAAATGTATGTAAAACTTGTATCAAAATTCACACATAGTGATGAAACTTTAGCAGTATTCTCTTTCAAAGTTCAGAAAAATACTGTCATTTCTGCAGAGAACCCCCAAAAGAATCTGAAAAAAATTGTTAACTAATAAAGTTAATACTAATTAATAAAGTTAATTATAAAGCCCAGCAAGTTTGCTGGATATATGATTAATAAATAAAATTAATTACATTTAATATATCAGTTATAAAACAGCACTTCTAATGAAATATGAAAAGTACTTTGACAAAAGATTTAATAAAATCTAATAAATCAAAAAAAGATGTGTGATTTTTAAAAAAGATTTTATTTATTTGAGAGAAAGACAGCAAGCAAGAGCACAAGAAGGGGGAAGGACAGAGGGAGAAGCAGACTCCCCGCTGAGCAGGGATCCCAGCATGGGGCTTGATCCCAGGACACCAGGATCATGACCTGAGGTAAAGGCAGACACTTAGCCAACTGAGCCCTCCCGACGCCCCAGATTTGGGTGATCTTTTAGGAGAAAATAATTCAAATATGTGAAGGTTTAGCTGATGCTAAAATTTAGGGAAAAGAATGAAAGAGAAAAAGCAAACAAGATGGCTTTGAAAGTTTAAAGGGGAGAGAAGGCTAGACTTAACCAGATAAGCAGACTGTAGGACTTTCTTAATAAAGGCAGGGTAGAGGCCAGGGCAACAGGCAAGAGGGCTGGGAAACAGACCCTGGTCTGGACAGAGACCGCGCACCTGTCAGGGGGCGCTGTGGGCCAGTGCCAAAAGGGCGCCTTCTGCAGGAAACAGTACTGGGACCATTGGTCGTAGCTGTGAAGAGAGCATGTTACTGGATCTCTGCTTCATGGCAGACACGACTGGGTTAAAGACCCAACCTGAAAAGTGACACTTCAAAATGTTTAGAGAAAATATAGAATATTTACACAATCTTAGGAGGGGATGGTTTCTTAAAATACAAACTCTGTAAGTCATGAAAAAACAGTTTGGTTCCTTTGATTCCATTAAGATTTTAAACTTCTGTTCATCAAAAGATGATTGAAAATGTGAAAACATAAGTCAGCGGAGGAGAAGATATTTGCAACACATCTAACAGGTAAAAAATCAGGATTCAAAATATCTGGAAAAATTCATTGTTTTGCAGACCACTAAGAAAAAAACAAAACAATCCAGCTGAGAATTTGGCAAAAGATAAGAAACAGGCAGTTTACAATTAGGTGTATAAAAAGATGTCCAGCTTCATTAATTATAGAAATTACAAGTAAAATAAAAAGATACCATTGCATATTCATCAGACTGACAAAAATGGAGAAGTTCAACAGTGGGAATCATTGGTAAGCACGTGAAGCAGTAGGAACATTGTGGGATTAAATGGGTACAATAACTACAGAAAACACTTCTCACCATGCAGTCAAGTTGAAGGTGCTCTTACCTTACAACTCCCTAATTCCACTCCTGGGTCTGTACCCGAGGGAAGCTTTACACATGGATATGTGTAAATATATATGTGATATATACCAATTACTCACCCTTTTTGTACTGTTGTGCTGTTGCAATAGTAAAATTTACCCAAAAGCCAAATATCCCCAATGGGTAACTAGATAAATACAATATTTTCATGAGTGGTATCGCTACATAGTAGTTTTTTAAAACCACTAGATTTTGTGTAAACTAGTTTTACACATATCAACATAGATGAATCTCATAGTGTTTTTATTTTTAGAGAGATTTATCCATTTGAGGGGCACTTGAGTGGCTGAGTCATTTAAGTGTCTGCCTTTGGCTCAGGTCATGATCCCAGGGTCCTGGGATTGAGTCCCGTGTCAGGCTTCCTGCTCAATGGTGGCCTGCTTCTCCTTCTCCTTGCTTGTGCTCTCTCTCTCTCAAATAAATAAGTATAATCTTTAAAAAAAATTATTCATTTTCAGGACAGATAGAATGAGTGCATGTGTGTGTGTGTGTGTGTGTGGCGGGGGGTGGTCCTTGATCTCACAACTCTAAGATCATGACCTGAGCTCAAATCAAGAGTCAGATGCTTAACTGACTGAGCCACTCAGGTGTTCCAACATAATTTTAAATGGAAAAAAAACCCAACAAATTGCCAAGAGTACTTCAGTGTAACATTATGCTGTTTGTTGTGATGTCTAAAAAAATGCAAAAGAATGCCATGTACTTTTAGGGATACATATGGTCCCTGAGGACTACACAGGAGGCTGCCTGCAATGGTAATAATATTTTATTTCTTAAGCTGGGTGGTAGTATGTGGTTGTTCATTATATTATTCTTTATGTCTTTTTGTGTATCTTAAATATTAGGTAGTAGTTAAAAAAATAACAATGTATGTAAACAGTTGCCAGTTAGGGGGTCACAAACATAAGTCAGCAGGACAAATAAAAATCCCAGCTGTCCTAATATTATCGGAATGGATAGTTGTGGCCACAGTTACATCTTCCAGTGGCAGCATCTGACATATATTTAGAAGGTGCTCTCTCTCAAAAGCCTTCCTGTTTCTCTCCAGAAACTCTCTCCAGCCCATTTCAGTGCACCCCAAACTCATCCCAGGGAAAGCATCACTGCTGACCCAGTTGCTCTGTCTCAAGCCCTTGAATCTTCCCTGGCCTCCTGTCTTCCCTGTGTACCCCGAACTCCAGCAGCAAGTCCTGACTTGGCAGCCTACAAAAGACAGGCTGTCCCCTCTTCCCTTTGATGCCACACCATCCCCAGTCCAGTCCGGTCTAACCTCCCCTCTAGCTGGGTAACTGGGAGAAATCATTCTCCCGTTCTCTGACTCTTCCTCCCTAAAGCCACCCCCCGACTTGCCCTTCTCCTCAGCTCCCCACCAGTCGCTTTTCCACGGAGATCTCTTAAGAATGTACATTATCACTCCCTTGCTCAGAATCCTCCAAGGTGGAGGTTAAAATTCAAAGCTCTCACCAGGCCTACCCTCTGTGGCCTACCCCTTCAACGGCATCTCCCGCCCTCCTCACCACTTTCTGTTCTAGCCACGTGGACCTTGCTGTTCTTTGAGCAAACTCTTTCTCACCCGAAGGCCCTTGTACTTGCCGTTGGGGAACTTTGTCCCAGATTTTAGCACGGCTCCTTTCCAAGGCCTCCACTCACCCCCTTTTCTAAAATAGCTGCCACGACTCTCCCTCCCCAGCCCAACCTGTCCTTTCATCTCCTTTGGCTGTTTCCTTCGCTCCCCTTCCTTCCCACCTGGGGTCATGTTATCTCCGTATTTGTTTGAGCCTTCATTTCTGTCTCCCTCTACTAGATCATATGCTTCCTGGGAGCTGAATATTTTCTGTCTAATTCGTTGTTGTGTTTTGATAATAAGGAAAAAGATCACTCAGGAAGTACCTTTTGGTAAAATCAAAGCCACTGGGGTTGTAGATGCACGAGAAGAATTTGAATAAGGTTATTTCATAAAGTATAGAAGTGGGAAAAAAGCAGAATGTTCTGCTGTTCTAACTGTTCTAAAACAATTAACTGATTTTCAGTATTTGTGATGGATGGATAAATATTAATAGATATTTGAGTATTTCATCTCTGTTCCTAAAAGTTTGGAAATTCAGGTTGGCCAGAAAACTCTTGGGATCTTTTCTTTGGGAAAGCTTACATTCAGGTTACCTCACATGCCCAGTTGATTTAGACTGGGGTCTAGGTGGTCATTCCATCTTCCAGTCAGTCTGTCGTTCTCAAGCCCTCTGGGTGTGACCTAGCCCCAGTTTCGGGCTGCAGGGAGGGAAGCTGCAGAACGGGAGGAGAATAGGGCCCACCGTGTGTCCGCTGTGTGCCTACAACTCTGCCTGGGTTTCTCTGTTACGTGGTTGACTGAGGCGTACCCTCTGCCTGCCGAGATGCACACAGCCGGTTGGGCCCCTCCTGCAGGGAGGGGGAGGAACGATGGGGCTCTGCAGCTTGGTCTGACCCTCTGACCCTCGGCACCCCGCAGGTCTCCGAGCTGATCTTTGTGTCCATCTATAGCTCCGAGTTCTGCATGAAGCTCTACGTGGACCCCATCAACTACTGGAAGGACGGCTACAACCTGCTGGATGTCATCATTATCGTCACTATCTTCATCCCCTACGGTCTGCACAGATTCAAGGGCAAGCACTACCCCTACCTCAACATTGCTGATGGCATGCAGTCCCTGCGCATCCTCAAGCTCATCACCTACAGCCGTGGCATCCGGGTGAGTGACCTGGGGCTGCTGTGGGCTGGGGGCGCCGACCGCGGGGCCCATCTGCCCACCAGCCCCCGAGGAAATAATCCTTTTCCCCCCACCATCCAGTTATGGAGCCCTACTGTAGGGCAGGTCGCTCCTTACCAATGTTACCTCATTTCATCCTAAAACAACTGCGAAAGAGTGTCCTTAGCTCTGTTTCACAGGTGAAGAAATCGAGACCCACGGTCACGCAGCAGTTAAATATCACAGCCGAGATTTGAAAGGTGTGGCTGACTCCAGGGGCCACGCAAACTTTTCCTCTCTCCCATGCTACCAAAGGGACGGACTTGCTTACGGTCCAGGCCCTTGGAGCTGCATTCCCAGGAGTCTCTGGCGCCTTGGTGGCAGGGGCCACTCAATTCCAATTGTGTGCTTTCCCCATACAGCTAAAAATCTGCTGCTTCTCCTGACAGAAATAGTAGCATTACTTTGTTCAGGCTGCTCCAGGAATGGGGCTCCTGCTAGAAGTCATGGGGTGACCAATCTTTGTTTGGCTTGGAAGGTTTCATAGCTGACCCAGCCCGCCCTGAAGCATCCATCCCAGGCGCAGTATGTTTGCCGTGGCTCTGTGCCCCGTGTCCATGCTTCTCCAGGAAGGGGTGGCCTTGGCTGCATCTAAGCAGCTTGGGTATGTGTTGGCCTGTGTTGCTGAGCGATTGCCCAGCCGGGCATCTGTCTGGAGCCTGGGCCCTACACTTAGCAGCCACAGGCCTGGGGGTCAAGACGAGGACTGCATTGAAGAGTTCCCCTTGGCACAGACCCCCGTTCATTCATTGTATGCTCTCATGTGGTCACTTGCCCCTGGGGCCCCTCCCAAACAGGCCTCCTGCCTTCCCCTTCATGGTGAGACTCCTGGAGAGACGGGGGAGTAACTCCTACTCTCCACTTCCTTACTTGTCATTTGCGCCCTGGCTTCTTCCCTCCATAGGAACTAGCCTCTCTGAGGTAGTCAGCAACCTCCTTGTCACCAGGTCCCCTGGCCAGTCCCACTGGCACCCCGTCACTGCCCTTTCTTGGGGTTCCTCCAGCCTCTTGAGCTTGACGTCTTGGGTGCATGCTGTTTTCTCAAGACTGTACCCCATGTTCTTCTCACCTGCACCCCACTCTGCATATTCTCTTGGGTGATCTTTCCCATGTTTCAGGGATCATCACCTGCCCACGCTTCTCTCTGACCTTCAGACGCATGACCTCCTGGACGTCTCTCGTGCTCCTCAAATCCAGGCCATCTGAGCTGGATGTCATCGCTTTCCCCCACCCTCACATCCCCAGACCCTGGCCCCTCCTCCTGTGTTGTGTCTTTACATAAAGGCTGTGCCCCACCCCCATTCAACAGCCAGGTTGTAAATTTGAGTGTCAGCATTGATGCCTCTGTCTCAAAGTCCTGTTGCGTGACCTGCTACGTAGTTCGTGACCAGTCCTCATCTTTTCTCCATCACCACCCTACTTCGTCAGGATTCCTGCACTGGCTTCCCACACACCTTAGAGAGCCCTGGGGCAAAAATGTCCCCCCAGCTGGGGGAGAATATTTTTTTTATTTTAATTTTTCAATTAACATAGAATGTATTATTTGCTTCAGGTGTACAGGTCTGTGATTCATCAGTCTTACATAATTTATAGCACTCACCAAAGCACATACCCTTCCAATGTCCATCATGCAGCCACCCCATCCCTCCCACCCTGCTCCCCTCCAGCAACCCTCAGTTTATTTTCTGAGATTAAGAGTCTCTTTTGGTTTGTCTCCCTCTCTGGTTTTGACTCGTTTCACTTTTCCCCTCCCCCTATGATACCGTGTCTTGTTTCTCAAATTCCTCATATCAAGGAGATCATATGATAATTGTCTTTCTCTGATTGACTTATTTCGCTTAGCATAATACCCTCAAGTTCCATCCACGTCTTGCAAATGGCAAGATTTCATTTCTTTTGATGGCTGCAGTAGTATTCCATTGTATATATATATATACCACTTCTTCTTTATCCATTCATCTGTTGATGGACATCTAGGTTCTTTCCATAGTTTGGCTATTGTAGACATTGCTGCTATAAACATTCGGGTGCACGTGCCCCTTCGGATCACTACATTTGTATCTTTAGAGTAAATACCCAGTAGTGCGATTGCTGGGTCGTAGGGTAGCTCTATTTTCAACTTTCTGGGGAACCTCCATGCTGTTTTCCAGAGTGGCTGCACCAGCTTGCATTCCCACCAACAGTGTAGGAGGGTTCCCCTTTCTCCGCATCCTCGCCAGCATCTGTCATTTCCTGACTTGTTAATTTTAGCCATTCTGACTGGCGTGAGGTGGTATCTCATTGTGGTTTTGATTTGTATTTCCCTGATGCCGAGTGATGGTGAGCACTTGCTGGGGAGAGTCTTCAAAGGGTACCTCAAATCACGGCAGCCTTCCTTTCAAACCTGAGAGTGGCTCCCCTTATTTATAGGCTAGAAATAGACCCTATAATATGTCCTAGGAGTGGGGGAGGGGAGCATCAGAGGTGCCGGGCACTGGAGTCTCTGGCTGGTAGGGATGGTGGTAAGGCAGGTGGACAGAAAAGACAAGAGGTCCCTGAGAGGTGGATGCTGAGTGATAGGCGCGTCAGACTGAGGGACAGTCAGACAGTTGGAAGCATGGCTGCTTTTTGCAGGTGTTGGGCACCAAGGAAACAGGAGCTGAAAGTGGTGCGGGGGTCAATGGGGATGAAGGAGTTAAGGGACAAAGAGGCTGGGGGTTGGTGACAGCCTCCCGGTGCTGGTCTCCTGCTCCCTGGAGCGCCTCACTGTTCACACATCTGGGCCTGGGCAGGCCTCTTCTGTGGACTACATCCCAGGGCAGCGTTTCTCACGAGATCTTGCCTCTTCCCTTGAAGTAGTTCTTGGGGAAGAAGCTCTGTCTCTGTCTCACAGGGAGGGAGGCAGTTTTGTACATCTCGCCTCTTCTGGAATTAATCCCCAGACACTGATTTTCTTCCCCCAAGGAGAGGGATGTGTTCCCCTCTGTAGGCGGCTATCCAGCTAGTCCATGTGGAAGGCAGCGCCAGGGCTCTCCCCTTGTCTTTCTGCTTCCTGAGTTACCCCAGACTAACGCTTCACTGTCCCGGGGCGCAGCTCTCTCAAGTGCCTCCATTCCTAGTGTGAAGCCAGTAAACAGCTTCTTGACCTGCAAGGGGGGGCCTTGGTAGGTGAAGGGATACATGGCAAAGGGCTCGGGAGTTGGTCTTGGCTCTGCCGCTGTACTGGCCAAGGATTTTTGCTTTTCTGAGCCTTTGCTTCCTCATCTCAAAACATGACAAGTGATAATGCCCACTTGCCTTGAAATAATGTCTGGGGCAGCATCTAGGTAGGTGACCATGTCTTGAGCACCAAATGTATGCAAGACTGGGGCGTGGAGAATGAATGACGAAGAGCCATATGCTCCCCAGGAGTGGTGAACACAGTGGGAGGCAAGACAGATGCACACTTTCTAGAGGAAGACTGAGGTCATGGGATGGAGACCTGTCTGTGGAGTAGGACCCAGAAAGAACAGGAAGCAACATCCCTCTGAGCCTTCGTCATTCCCACTCCCAGGGTAGCTCCCCTATTCCTTCTGTGCTTGACAGAGCATACAGGGCTGGCCCTGAGCTGAGAGGCAGAGTGGGACACCTTGGGATGACTACAGAGGCAGGCTGGGACTCAAGTGGAGTTGCTAGTGGTGCTGATGGGGAGACACCCAGGCCTGAGGACCATCTCCCCATGGGGGACTGAGGGCAGAGGCCAGGTACTGCTCAAGCACTACTGGATTGGTCCAGCCCTCAGTCTGGGTACAGTTCCCATTCATCCACCCATCCATCCATCCATCCATCCACCCACCCACCAATCCATCTACCCACCCATCCATCTACCCATCCATCCACCCAACCCCCCACCCACCCACCCATCCTCCCACCCACCTACCCACCCATCCATCCATCCATCCACCCATCCATCGATCCATCGATCCATCCATCCACCCACCCATCCGTCTGTCCATCCATCCATCCACCACCCGTCCATCTATCCGCCTACCCATCCATCCATCCACCCACCCATCCATCTACCCACCCATCCACCCATCCATCCACCCACCCATTCATCCACCCACCCATCTACCCATCCATCCATCCATCCATCCATCCATCCATCCATCCATCCACCCATCTGTCTGTCCATCCATCCATTCACCCATCTATCTATCCATCCATCTATCCATCCATCCCTTTATGGGGCCTGGCACTGGATGCTGGGACCAGCTGGGGTCTGGGCAGACTGGACCTGTCAGCTGAGCCCTACTCAGCCTGGCAGCCTGGCCTAGCCCCCGTGCCTCTGCCTTGCAGACCCTCATCACTGCCGTGGGGCAGACAGCCTATATCGTGGCCTCCGTGCTCATCCTGCTCTTCGTCCTCATGTTCATCTTCGCTATCTTGGGCTTCTGCCTATTTGGAACTCCAGACAGGGGTGACCCGAATAACTGGGGGAACCTGGCTGTGGCCTTCTTCACTCTCTTCAGCTTGGCCACGGTACTGTGGGAACAGGGGTTGGGGCAGTGGCCTTAGGAAGGGAGTGCCAGCTGGTGTGGGTGTGTGGACAGCCTGGACCTCACATGGGATCGTCCTCATGTTCAGGTACTTAGCTGGGCTGGGGATGCTGAAGGCTGGCCTTCCAGAGCTAAGCAGATGCCAGGGCCCTGGCCAGGGGTCCATTCCTCTCTCTGATCTTGTGGCTCCCTAAAGCATTCCCATTTGACCCACAGGGTTGTAAAAACTTTCAAGGAGTTCTCAAAAGATAATTCATTTGGATCAAGTTTACTTTAGAAATGAAAGCCATGTCGCGTAGCCTTTCTGGGACTAGGCTGTCACAACTCCACCCAAAATCGGTCTGCAGTGCCCAAGTCCAGAAGGGTAGACTCTGGGGTCTTTGCATAGGAGGGCCTTGTAGAGAGGCAGTGTATTTCCTGGAAGGATGGGAGGCCTTTTGGAAAAGAGCCCCCAGGGCACCTTGGCTAGTAGCGTCTGTACCCCGTGGAGCCTTGCGTCCCAAGCCACCATGCATAGACTGGGGTCATTGGCTGGGGGTGGTGGTGTGGGGCTGATGGGAAGGCAGAGCCAGCCACATCCTCAGTGGGGCCAGGGCTGCAGTAGCCCAGGGAATGGGGAGGCCTACCCCGTGGGGCCTTGGCACTCGGCACACCGTGCCTTGCCCACACAGGTCGATGGCTGGACAGATCTGCAGGAGCAGTTGGACAATCGCAACTTGGCTCTCAGCCGGACATTCACCATCATCTTCATCTTGCTTGCCACCTTCATCTTCCTCAGTATGTTCGTGGGTGTGATGATCATTCACACTGAGGTGAGGCTGCGCTCGTCAGGATGGCCGGGTTGGCGCTCACGTGGCAGGCAGAGCCACAGGCCCCCATCTTCGGGGTGGGGGTGCGTGGGGAGGTGGTTCTGTGGGCCCTCCCTTGCCCAGCCCCGCTCTTCTCCCTGGGCCAGGGCATCTCCCTGCCTCGTGCTGGCGGTCAGCAGGATGGGGGCCTGAGGAGTCCTTGCAGCTGCGGACTGCAGCTTGAGTTAGGGGCCGGCCCTGTATGGTGTCAGGAGCTGCCCCTGCTGAGGAGCCACACGAGCCTAGGGAAGAAGAAAGACGGGGTGGGTGGGTGTGTGGTGAGAGCCTGTATCTTCCCCTTTTCTCCCCCCTCTCTAGGCCTCCTTTAAGAAGTTCAAGCTGGACCTGATGGCCGAGAGGCACATGGCGCTCATGGGAGAGAAGCAGGTGATTCTGAGGCGGCAGCAGGAAGAGGTCAGCAGGCTGATGCAGATGCAGGTAGGCCGTCTCCAGGCCGGGGGCCGGGGGCAGGCCCATGGGCAAAGGGGCCTTAGGGCCCATGCAGGCAGCATGTGCTGTCAGCCCTCTCTGGTCTTAGGGAGGGCAGGTTCTGATGCCCTGTATTTTCCACAGTTGGGCTTTATTCTCTGTATTTTTGTATCTCTCTGGACCTCTTAGGGAGTTGAGGACTGTAGATATCGTTTCTCCCTTCTTCCTGGGCACAACTCCACTGCCAGGCCCTCTGCCTGGAATGCTCTTGTTACAGAGGCCCCCTGGCCACTGGGCAGCCATAGGGGGCCCATCCACTGTGTTGGGCAAGGCCATGGAGGTCCTGACAGGTGCTCCTCAGCTCCGGTTTTTCTCAGGTGGAACAAGGATGAGCACAGCAGGCTGGAGATCTTCTGTCAAGAGGGATACTCCTGTGAAATCCTGGGGGCAAGCCTTCTTTTTTCAGCCTAAGCTCTCTGACCTCCTCAGGCCGGGCGCTGAATGCTCTGCTGGGCCCTGAACCCCTGTTCCCCCTTCCCCATGCAGCCAGTGCATCCCTCCTGAGCCCCTTCTCTGAGCTGGAGTCATCTGCTTGTCTTGACTGTGCCCGAGTTTGTGCAGGGCGGGGTGAGACCACGCCAAGCCACACTCAGGCTCTCACTGGTTCCTTTCTGTGTCACCTGTCCTCATGTCAGTGATGGTGGCTCACGAGGCTGCTGCGGTCAGGGGGCTGAGACTTGGAGGGAATCCAGCTGAAGCTGTGATTCGGCGCAGGGCCTCTCCTGGGGCTGGGGTCAGGCCTACGCCTGGGCCCCTCGTGAAGGATCCCTGTGCCTTCCTCTTCACTGCCCTCTTTATGCTATCCTCTCTAGAAAAATGCTGACTACAAAAGTTTCAGTGAGCTTGTGGAGAACTTCAAGAGGACCCTGCAGCACACTGACCCCATGGTCCTGGATGATTTCGGCACCAGCCTGCCCTTCATCGATGTCTATTTGTCCACTCTGGACAACCAGGACGCCACGATCTACAAGTCAGTACCTGCCCCGCTGCCCTGATCCTGGGAGATGGGGCCTCTCCTGGTCCCTAAGCTTCCTCCAGGGGTGGGGGGCACGGCAGGTGCCTTGGGAAAGCAAGGGGATGCTGGTCTGTCTGCGTGTGGCTGAACTGCAGCCCTTCCTGGGGCTGCAGGACCCCATGTGTGCATAGGCCTGTGGCTCAGAGGCCCCTGCTTCCCTGGCCTTCCCCGGCCTGCTCTCACTGGCCCTGCAGTGCTGGGCCCCGGACTCTTCAGGGCCTTCCTCACCACCCCCTTTCCAGAAGTTAGATGGAAGAGCACCGGTTGGCAAGGCAAGAGCTCAGGCTCTTGGCCTGGTAATGCCACGACCTTTCTTTGTGACTCTGGGGAGGTCTCTGTCCCTTTCCCACCTGTCACACAAGAGCCGATGCTACAAAAGCAGTTGTGTGAGGCTTTGAGTTGGCCCAGCCCAGGGCTGTGCTCTCTGAGCATTAGCTGGAAGGAAACCTGGCCATCACTGAGCAGAAAGGCGGGGGCACAGCTGCTAAGGAGTCATGGTGAGCTCTTGAGTGAAGACGGACACCAGTAGGCTGGCTTCATGACAGAAGCCCCCTGGAGGGCTTCATGGCCTGGAGGAACTCAAAGGAGGGGGTCTGGGAACCTCCATGTTTGGCCCAAGAGTGGGCCAGGCAGTGTCTGGTCACTGCCCCGTAGTCACCTTATTTGTAGCCCAGGATCTGGCGTCTCCAACCTGACATGTGTACTGAAATACCTTACTCGGGGGCCATGGGTTGAGCAGTGGACCTGGATTCCAGTTGGCCTGATCTGGCCTCTACAGCCCTTGCTCTTCCCCGCACCCACACCGACCGGGCATGGGAATCCCGGGGGTGGGCATGTGGTGGTGTGGGGGAGTTCAAGGGGCATGGAGCCCATCCCAAGCCCAGGCCCTCCCCCCTGCCCCTACCTCCAGGCTTCAGGAGCTGTACTACGAGATCGCGCATGTGTTGAGCCTGATGCTTGAAGACTTGCCGCAGAAGAAACAGTCCCAGACCTCCGAAAATGCTGATGAGACATAGGGGGCGTGGGCACCCAGACACCAAGGGGTCTTGCAGGCTGTGACAGGCCCTCGTTCAACACAGGCTTTTTGAATTGCCCTCTCTGCAGTTGCTTAAGCTCATGGTACTGCCCTGCCTCAGGGGGTTGGGCCCGGGTAGGCGCCCATAAAGTCTGATTGCCTGGTCTGCTCCCCCTCAGCCTGTGGGGTGGGGAGAAGATGCTCAGGACTTGCCCTTGGCCAGACACCTCATCCAGGGGCCACACTGGCTCTCTCCTCCCTTGACCTCAGCAGCAAGGACTCATTGGGCTCCTGGGAAAGCCATCAGAGGACCCCAGACCAAGAAGGGCCTCCAGTAGCCCCCTACATGTATAATGGCTCCTTTGAGCTGGTGCTCCACTGATCTTGGAACTTCTCAAATCTGGGTGGCTCTTTGTGGGTGCCCCACAGCAGGAAGAGCAGCATTTCTCTCTATGCACCTACTCCCGTGACGACCCTTGTTTGGAAGTTGGCTCTGCTTTTCTCTAGGCTCATGGTGGTTGTGATCCCCCAGTGGGTGCACGGGGGACCTCCCAGAGGGGTTGGAGGAGCAGCAGTATTGGGCTGTTGCTGCTACTATGGTCAGTTAGGACTTTTCACTTGAAAGGTGGCCTCTTCTGTGTCCCTCCTGGCCACATGACTAGCAGAGTTGCCGCACTCCTGACACTCCCTTGATCCAGCCGTGATGGAATTTTCTGAAGGCACAGGTGGGGCAGGTTTGGCTGACACCCCTTGTCCCTGACTGGCCAGGCCGGAGGCCCTGTGGTGCCCCTCTGCTCCCGTTGCTGGGGGCTGTTCTCAAGGCCCGTTACTTTAGCAGGCCCTGTCTGACAGAGGAAGGAAGGAGTCCTGGGCAGAGCTGGGGTGGGACACCAGCACATACAGTTGAGGGAAAAAAAGCCCCAGACCTACTGGGGAGTTGGGTCAGTGGAAAACACATGGGGTAAAATTGAGAGCGGTTGGATGAAGGGCCCCTTGCATGGACCCACGGTCTGTGGGCTGGGTGACAGCTCCTCCAAGGCCACAGAACAAGGGCACTTGGAAACCTTTCCTCGTGGTTTTGTTCACGCATCCGACTACTATTTACTGAACTGTGCTGGGTGCTGGGGTGCTGTCATGAGAAGACCCACAGTCCAGTCCTGGTCCTCTTGGGGACCTCGGTAATCAGTAATCCAGCCAGACTGGATGAGAGACATTTCCTTAAGGAAGTGATGGTTGTTCACTTGCAGAGAGCATGCGTCTTTTAAGAGAGTCAAATCATTGCCATTTGCAAATGTTCACACTCCCATCGTGTAAAGATGTGGAGGAGGCTTGCCTTGAAGAGTGAGACCTGTCACCATGCTATTGGGGAGCCCTCTGAGGGCGGGAGAGGTAGCCTCGTTCTTTCCGGAGGCACAGAAAACTTTATGCCAGTGCCCTTAGTGGAGAGGGAGGGTACTTAAGTATGCAGGACATGTGAGCCCTCCGTGGATCGGGGAGAGGCCCAGGGCTTTATGCCTGCGGTGCCTGACCCTGAAGGCTGGGGGCTTCTGTGGGCACTCTGGGGTTGCGGCCCTGCCTGTAGGACAGGCAGGCCTCAGGCCACAGCTCTGGTTCAGACCCGGGGCAAAGCAAACACGCTGCTCACACTGCCGTGGACACTCTTGGCATTGCTGTGTGCCTATGTTGCTCGGGAGAATATGAAAACACATTCCCCTGCTCTCACCAGGAATCCCGAGAATTGCCTTAAGCCCCTGGGAGTGAACAAAGGACTAAAAAAATTAGCCTCAGAAAGGTAAGTTGGAAAGTGCTCCGGTTTTGGAGTGGGTAGGTCTGGATTCGGTAATTGGGTGACCTTGGGCAAGGTGCCAAATCTTCTGAAAATGCAGCTATTTCCTCTGAGAAATGGGCTGATAAAACTGACCCACTCTGAGACGGAATGAAATACATGTGAGAACGTGAAGAAGGCTGGAGGCAGCTGTGGCTGGTGCTTCCTCCTGCTCAGCTCTGCCTCTGCTGGGTGGCCAGCCGCAGCGGGCCATGCTGGTCAGGGGCCGAGAAGGCCTGGGCCAACGTCAGGGTCAGGGAGGACAGTATGGCACTGAGAGCAGGAAGCAGAAGTCAGGAGCTGGTGTTGGGGGTGGGCGGTAAAGGGGTCTCCATGGGGAGCTGGCATGGAATGAGCTGGAAGGCCTGGGTTCCCACAGGGAAGCCCCAGGCACAGGGCTCTGGGCCACAGCGGGGAAGGCAAGCTACCTTGAAGGGCACAAGCAGAAGGCTGTCACCGAGCAGGGAGCCGGGAGAGGGTGACGTGCAGAGGGCCGGCCCAGCACTGCTGGCACAACAAGCCAGCGGGTATTTGGCGCAAAGTCCCAAAGCAGTGTTTCTGTTTGGCTCTATTCGTCTGCAGAGCAAACACCGGCAGATTGGAATTCCCGCTTGGGCTCTCACCAACTCAAACAGGCCTGGCCACAACTTTCAATTGATTTGCTTGGGGCGGAAGTGCTCTGCCTGCCCAGGCCTGGCTGTGGAAAGCAGGACCCTTCTCACGGCCCTCCAGGCCTTGGGTCCAGTAGAGCTGTCCCCAGAAGGCTCTTTCATCTCCGTCTTGGCAGCCTCTGGTTTGGTAGCTGCGCTGGGATGCAGGGGACCTGGGCTTGAGTCTTTTGGGTCACACTCAGGCCTTCCCCTAGTTCCTCTGGGAAGGATCTGGAATCTAAGGCTGGAGGTATTTGGAAGGTGGCCGGATATTTTTGTTTTTGCTTAACCGCTTGTTGATTCCACCGGCAGGAAGCACTCCCTATATGATGGATATCCAGGCAGGGAGTGAGAATATAAACTCTCCTATTTATTCCAACAGCCCCTAGGCATCCTACACAGAGATGCTGGGAACTGCACACCTTGCGTTTCCATCAAATGTGGGTGAGACAGGCCGTGTCCTAATTCAAAGAGCCCTTTACCCAGTCAGACTTTGCTCTCGGTGGTCTCTTTCCTTGTTTCGGTCTCTGTCCCTGGCCCAGCTTGCTGGGGCCTGCTCTCTTGGTTCACAGGCTCTCGAGAGAGAGGATGGCTCTGAATTCTTAAGTAGGCTGCCCAGAAGGGAGAGGCGATGGCTGCCAATACGAGTCCAAGTGCTTGGGAAATGACGAGAAGGAGGTAAATGTGACGGAGACAGGTTTATCACCACGAGAGTGCCCCGCTCCTATCCACATCCCACCACCCGGAGCTCTGCCTGTGCTGGTCCATCCCACGCTTCACCGTCCCCAAGTTCTATCTTTGATTTAATGTAGACTGTGGGTGACATAGTGCTGGGGGAGTGGGGGAGAGCCAGGATGGATCAGGAAAGGGAAGAGAGGGGAGCATTCGTCCTCTCTTGGTCTCCTCCATGATGGAGAGCCAGGGTAATGGGCAAAACAGAGAGCAAATGAGGAGACCAGTCAGGTTTGATGGGTCTACACAATCAGGAGCTGGGACAGGGAGAGAAAAAGGAAGTAAAAGCCGAGGGCCAAGAGTCAGAGACTTTTATACAGAGGTTCTGACCTAGCTGGAGCATGAGGCTTGCAAAGCGGAGAAATTGCGACGACAGGTGTCCTTGGGGGGTGAGAATGGGATCCTCCCTGATGTTCTTTGAGAGAGGCAAGTCATGGTTGGAATCATTTAAAGATGATTTTTGGTTGCTGGCTGTGCCTTTTAAAAATGGCAGCCCCTGAATAGATTTGACCACATAGAATCTGGATTATATTTAGGGGGCCCAAAGATCATGCGTTATAACAGAGACCTCTCAGGCTAAAACGGGAAAACGTGATGAGGGGTTTACAAACCCCCACCTGAAGCCCGACCTGGGTTCAGAGGCCTCTAGGTGAAGCACCCCCGGGGTTGGTGGCACCACGTGTGGCTAGCCCTTTGCAAAACAAAACCAAAGTTTCCAAAGGAAGGTGCGGAAGAAGCCCAAGGGGGATGAGAATTTGTTCCAGAACTCTTGGGACACTGGGGACTGACTCCAAGCTCTGTAAGCTGGTGGTGATGGGACAATGACGTTCTCATAGCAGGGGCCCCCCACTGGCCCACAGGTCAGCACACGTGGCCTCCCTCCATCCCCAGTAGGACCTTGACGCCTGGAATGGCAGTGTGAGATGAGAAGTCCTCTTCACCGAGGACGTGTCTAAGTAGAGTTCAGGCCCAGGCTCTGAAGGTACAGCCCATTCGCATTGTTGACAGTGGAAACGTTACCTTCTATTTTGTTGGCATTTCTGCCTCCAAGATACTTTCACATACACGATCCGAATCGTGTCACAACACTTAGGTGTTTTTCATGATTCCCGTTAAACAGGTGGTAAAACTGAGGCTTGGAAAGGTGATGGAGTGCCCCCCCGCACCCCGCAGTCTGTACAAGTAAGGAGGAAGAGCCAGGACTCGCAGCCATGCAGTGTGGCATTTGCAACACTCTCCCGCAAAGCTGTGCGCCAATCTTGTAACCAATCGTTAGCTCCATTTTACAGGTGGGTCAGCAGGCCCCCACAGGGACCGTCACTTGGCAGGGATTGTCCTTAAACGGCAGAGTCAGGATTTCAATGCAGACTACACAGGTACCCTCTGCTCCACAGCCTCCCAGCGGCCTTAGTTTTCTTTCCAGAGCGATTTTTTTGAACATTAAAACTCAAGCCATGTTTGCCTTCCAAGTGGGGCCCGAGTCTGAAGTCTGCTGGCCCAGCAGCCCCTGGCTTGGCCCTGGGAGCCTCGGAGATGGAGGGGATGGTGCGCGCAGATGGGTTGTGACTCCGGCGCCTAATGGGGAAATTACAGCCTGGGCCGCCGCCGAGGGTTTGGCTTACAAGTCACCCATCAGCGGGTTTCAGTGAAGCCGGCCCACACAGAGGCTTGGCCGGCAGGAGGGATGTGCTGGGCGGGCAAGAGCTCTGCAGGCGGGATGAGCCCACCTTGGCAGTGCCGTGTAGAGCAGCCCAGCTGTTCCTGCACCCAGAAAGTTGGTCTCTCGGGTGGTGACCTTGAGGTCAGTCCTTTCTGGCTCTCTGCTCCCCCACTGCCGCACCCGCAGATAACTCATTAGCAAGGATAGAAGCTGTGGGCGCCCAAAGGGGGCACTTGGCGACTCTCTTGTCTTGAGTAGCTGGCTTTTCCCCTAACCCTGGAATGAGCGTGCCCAAAAGGAGTGGAAACTGGCAGATGGGAAAAGCCAGTTGTAGAACTGAATGT